AATCAAAAGAGGCCATAAGTTTGGATAAACAAATATTTTATATCATGACATTTTTGTATAGTTTTGATAATGATATATTTCAATACATTTTTTATATATAAATTAATAGAAAGATATTTCTATGTTTTATAAAAATGTATTAAAATATATCATGAATCGATTTTAAGAAATCATATATGTTCGGAAGATATTAGTGGGGAATGATACTGATTAGTTTTAGGTAAAGATCGACAATGCCGTTTTATTGTAATTAACTGTTGAAAGAAAAATTTGCCGATTTTTACTTTTTTTATAGAATTCTAACTCAAATTTAATAAGAAATCCATCAGTTTTTTGAAAGGATCCAATTAGATTTCCGGTAAAAGATTCTACTAATGAGATTATTATTATGTTCTTATAGAATTCCAGCTTAATTTTAATAAGAAACCAGTCAGAATCGAATTCTATTTGTGGACACAACCAAATAAGATTTCGGTAAAATTCTAATGATATTCTGATAACAATCTAATCTGATACCGGTAAGAATAACATAAAACTAAAATATCATACAATAATCTAAAATTTGTCAAATAAAATAATTATATTGTAAAAGTATTGTAAAGCTTATTAAAATACTTATTAAATTTTTAAAAATACTTGCAACAAACAAACTAGTTATATTTAAATATCATTAAATTTAACTAATTATAAATAAGTTTATAGTAAATAAATTAAATAATAAATAAATGAGTAATAAAATAGCTAATAATTAATTAAATTATATTAAATCTATAAAATATTGACTTAAGCCCTATTATAATATTATTATACCGACGGCTTGTAAAATAAATAAATAAAAACCTAATGAGATTCTTATAGGGCTGTTATTCTTATAAGTTTATTATTCGTATTAGTTTCCTATAATATTCTTTTACACTTTCCGCAGGATAAGTTATAGTAATCGCAAAAAAATCGAAAATGAAAATTTTTATATATCTTTTATATTATCTTTATATGTATGTGTGTGCATGAGGTGTTTTTGCATAAGGCACGTCTACTGTTTCAGAGGAATGGAGCGCAAAGGGTGTAAAAATGGTCTTGCAGTATTTGAGAGAACGGAACACCCGATTAGATTAATTCAAAAAACATTTTACTTGAGTAGACGGTGCCCAAAAAATGATTTTACAGAAAATTTCGTAATTTTGAAACTGTTCAAGAAAAAAATTCGAAATTTTCAAAAAAAAATCAAAATTTTCAAAAATAATCAAAGTTTCAAAATATTCAAATTTTCGAAATTTTTCATTATTTCAAAAAAAAACTAAATTTTGAAAAATTTCAAAAAATATCAAAAGAAAATATTTCTTACAAAAATCTCAGAATATTTCGAAGTTTTCAATAATTTCCAAATTTTCAAAATATTTGAAAAAAAATGTTTGTTCTAAAAAAATTTCAAACTCTTAAAAATGCCATACACCACTAATCTTATATATAAAAATGGAACGCAAAATGTGTTGGTAAGCGCATAACTCAACAACGCCTGGACCGATTTGGCCAATTCTTTTTTTAAAATGTTCGCTGAAGTTCAAGAATGGTTCTTGCGGCGACAAAAAATCGAATAATTGCCGGGAAAACCCTAAAAACAGCCATTTTCTCTTTCACATACAAACGTTTTTTAACTAAAACGTAGAATCTATTTGAGCTTTATTGCTATTATATAAAGTACTCTTCCTAAACGATTATTCGGATTTTGATAAATCTTTCTGAAGTTTGTTAAGGAAATTTTCTAACATGTATGTGATTATAAAGTACTGGTATGTGGGAAATGGAAAAAAATTAAAAAATCGACATGTCATTGTTTAAAGCAGTTTTACATTTAAAATCGCTCATATTATAAATGTATATGCATTTTGGCGTAAAGAGTAATTTGAAAAACAATAATTATTATTTTTAGATAAACGGTAAATTTTTATTAATTTTTTTATTAATTTTTTTATTAATTACCGGTTAATTTAAAAAACGGTAATTAGTATATTTTATTAAAAAATTGTAGACATGGGTGCAGGACAACGTCTGTCGGGTCATCTAGTTATTAATAAATATTATTGAATTAATAATTTCTTTCCAGGTATTTCTAGGAATGATCACCATGCAATATCAAGCCCAATCAGATATGGTGGACTTGATTGAACAATTGGAAAGGGCTTGTATTCGATTCGTTCATTTTAGCAAAGAAAATGAATTAAGATCGAGAGTATTCAGTGAAAAAATGGGACTGGAAAGTGGCTGGAATTGTCACATTTCTTTACTTAGTGAAAAACAAAGGTAATAATGAAGAAATTCTTACAAGGAGAACCTCAAGTTCACACTTCTGGGATTTTGCATGGTGATAGAGTTGATAGTCACTGTGTAAAATATTATAGGCCTAGGAGAAGTAGTTTAATTATAAAAATTAATACAAGTTTTTATGATAACTTTCCTTCACTGTATCATTTTCATAAGTTGAGTCTTTATTTGGTAACAAAATCTATCAGAAACTTTCTGATGACGTCAGGCGTCAGTGATGTTCTCTATTTGCTCAAAAAATTATGATTGTTAGAAAAAATCTAAGGTATAATGGTTTTGTAAACACTTTGTCAATTTTTTTGTAATAGGAAAATAACAAATGGCTCTTTTACTAATAAGGAGAACTTGAGGTTTCTTTTTGTGGGATTTTGATGAAACTTTGCATGGTGATAGAGTTGATAGTCCAAAGGAATTGTTTGAAATATTATAGGTCTGTGGGAAATAGTTTGATTATAAAAATTAATTAAAGTTTTGAAAAAGTAGAAGCGAGTGCCTAAACTGACTGAGCTGCCAGGACTTAGTAATAAGGAACTCTAGTCTATTTTTCGCAACTTTAAGTAATTTTTATTATCAAACCACTCCCCACAGGCCTATAATATTTTACACCATTCCTTTTGTCTATCTTTATCACCATGCAAAGTTTCATCAAAATCCCACAAGACTAAACCTCAGGTTTTCCTTGTCAGTAAAAAAGCCATTTGTTATTTTTCTATTACTAAAAAAATTGACAAATTGGTAAAGCTATTATACCTTGTTTTTTTTAACAATTATAATTTTTTGAGCAAATAGAAAACATCACTGACGCCTGACGTCATCAGAAAGCTGATAGATTTTGTTACCAAATAAAGTCTCAACTTATGAAAATGATACAGTAGAGGAAAGTTACCATAAAAACTTGCATTAATTTTTATAATTAAATTAGTTCTCTTAGGCCTATAATATTTTACACCATTCTTTTTGACTATCAACTCTATCACTGTGCAAAGTTTCATCAAAATTCCAGAAGAGTAAATCTGAGGTTCTCTTTGTTAGTAGTATTCAACAAATATTTGTGCATATAAAATTTTAAACAATTTTTTTTTTATCTTAGTGAAGGATCTTCTCCAGCAAGTAGTCCAGACAATTTAAAATCATCCGGCATGATTAATATGAATAAAGAAGATGAATTATTGGCGCAGGATTTTGTATATGATGATAAGAATGAAGAAGCAATACCCATGTATGTATTTAATATACTTATAATTATATTTTGGTGATAGAAAAGGTAAATTATGTTTTTTTTTTTAGGTGCAAGTTAGAAATATCCAAGCAACTTAGTAGAAGTTCACCAGGTAATATAAATTTGGAGCATTCGTTAGTTAAATTCTCTGAAAATATTGATGGTAAACCAGATTGTGTTGATAGTAGTATTGAAGAGCAACTGCATTCTAATATAAGGTAAGAAAGATTATAGATTTTTTAAATTAAATATATATATATATATATATATAATCTGCATCTACATATATATATATATATATATATATATATATATATACATATATATATATATATATATATATATATATGTGTAGATGTTATAGTTATATAAATAAGCCGGGTTTTCCTTCCTGACGATATAACTCCAGAACGCACGTACCGATTTCGACAATTGCTTGTCTCGGGCTCCGTGAGGTTTATAACTAAAAACATTAGTGGTGCATGGCATCGTGCCTTGATGCAAATTGCTGAAACTTCACGCACCGTAATTAAATATTCGAGTAATGACATTAGTGAGAATTATCAGAATTATGCTTGCAATTAAGTCAACGAGCAATTCTTGCCGCAAATAATAATGATGTACACGCACTGAAGTTCGCCATTCAATCAAATATTGCTGGCGATTTAGTGACATACCAATGATTCCGACTGGTCTTCCGTTTGACTTCAAACGATTGCAATTTCCAGTTCGCCTTGCGTTCGCATGTTTTTTTAAACAATTCCGAATTTTTAAAAAATACTAAATGAAAAGTTACAGTTTTGGGCAAAGTCCACGCGATAAAGCGATGTATAGAGAAGATCTTCTCCAAATTTGAAGTAAATTGGTTCATTAGAACCCGAGATATCCTTAGCGCCAGCTCGAAAAAAGTAGTTCCGAGAAAAACGCGTTCAAAGTTTTGCAGTCGGTCGGACCCGAACCGAGGTCACGTCACTAAAACGGCTATAACTCAGGTAATAATAGTAATTTCGAAAAATCCTTTTAATGACATATTTTTGAATAACTAAACTTTGAAAATTGAAAAAAAAAATTTTTTAATTTTTTCAAAATTCTACAGTAGAATACCCCCTTAACGTCAGACCAAAAAACATACTAGTGGGGCGCATGGCATCGTGCCTTAAGGCAAATTGCTGGAACTTCCCGTACCAAAAATTATTTTTTTTAAAAAGATTAACATTTTTGAAAAAAATTTACTCTGAAAAAATAAATTTTTGAGAAACTATAAATTTTTGACAATAACTTACTTTTTGTTGAAAAATTTATTTTTACATATTTTGGAAATTCTGAACTTTTTTTCAAAGCAATCGCACTGCTTTAAATGCATAGAGACTAAATATTGAAGCGTGTAAGCGCCGCGTCGTCGTCTAACGGATAAACACTGGTACGGATTCCATAGGAATGCAAACAAGAATTATACTTATTGTTAAAATCTCAGTCTAATGATTATTGTTGAGCGCCAAATGGTATTTTTTTTTAGTTTTTTTACTATATCTCCGAAACCGCTAGACCTGCATTTATGAAAATTTGATAAGTGTTCATCTTGTTCAAACAAGTAAAATGTTTTTTGGATTATACAAATCGGACGCTCCGTTCTCTTAAAAACTGAGTTACTGTTTTTTGCACTTTTTGCCCCATATCTTCGGAACGGCTAGACCTGCCTTCGCCAAAGACTAATCAGCACGTCTCCCTATCAATAGAAATCGAATGTTTGTTAAACCATTCAAATCGGTTGATCCGTGCGCCCGAAAACGCGGGCATACAAAACACACACACACAAAACACACACACACACACATCCATTTTTTCTGAGGTATGCCAAAATGTTCAGAAACCTTCAAAACGTCGAGAAATGCAAAAATTTTTGATTTCGATTTTTGGACGATTACAATGACTTACCCTACGGGAAGTTAAAAATGTGGTTTACCAAAAAGCACTTCAATGAAACGAATAATTTGCGGTTTCATTTTCATTTACTCAGAGAAGTTCAACTAAAAAACAATCGGAATAAATTCATTACAATTACTATATATACTATATATACTATATATATATATATATATATATATATATATATATATGTGTGTGTTGATAGTTTTGTCGATTGGAAATATTGTGCATCCCAATCGTCGAATTAAAAAAAGGTTAAAACAGAAAAATTCTTTACTACATTAAACGTTTCGACACGTAATGTATGTCATAATTTCATTTAATCTTAAAAAAAAAAAAAACATTACATAGATAACAATAGTTGATATTGAATATAAAAATATAAAAAGGAGAAAATTATATACATACCGAACCAAGAAAAACTCAAAAAAATTATATAAAATTTATTGAACACTAAACTTATGCAAAAGAACATAACTAATAATAATTAATAAAAGACAAATTAAAGGAGCACATATTGCACTCCTAATATTACGTGATGTTCGCTCGCTGTGCATAGTAACGCAAATGATTTCAAGGTTACGCGCCACGTGCGGCAGAGTGAGTGGATGCGGGGTGAAAGATACAAAAGAGGAATGAGAAACAGAGAAAGAGATATAACGAACGAAAGATTAAGAACTCTGCGAAGACACACATTAAGTTTCGAAACATTTAATAGAATAAAGAAAATAACCTTTTTTTAATTCGACGATTGGGCTGCAAAATACTTTAAATATATATATATATATATATATATATATATATATATATATATATATATTTACTTTTTGCAGTAACTTGCAAAATGATGAAAATGATCAAGAAGCATGGAGATCTTTGAGCTGCTTAACTGATAGCACAGAACAATCAGCACCGGTTAACTTTGACATGTCTAACAGGGTAAATATTTATTAAATTTTAAATATTTTTTATATAAATCCATTACTATTATTTATCCAGGCAAAGCTTCCAAGAGGCATTGAAAATATTAGACCACATATAGAACAAGTCGATAATGTTCCTTTGCTGGTGTCTCTTTTTACAGACTGCACGGCTGATGTTACCAGGGAAATGTTATCGATAATGCAGGTAATAAAAGATTGAGTCTATGTTGTGTTTTTTGAAGAAAACTGTATAAAATTTTATACACGGTTCAAAAGCGAAATAACATGAATATCATATATAAAGAAAGTATTACACATAATAGAATAATAAAGTTCTTACTAAAACTCCACAATTTTGATTAAAAAAAAAGATTCATATAAAAAAAACTGTTCTTCATTGTATTCTTTAATCAAATATTTCAAATAAAGTCAATTTTTTTCAAAAATTCCAAAATCTTTCAAAAATCTAAGTTTTCCAAAGTTTTTTTTAAATTTAGTTTTTGGTACAGGAAGTTCCAGCAAATTGCCTTAATGAAAAAAAGGGGTAAACTAAGCAGCATTAACCGGGGTTTTACTGTATCATATTAACTTGTTTTTTTTTTCTTTTTTAGGATTATGGTGAAATAGTAGTTGTACTAGGTTCTGCTGGAAATTGTGATAACATGGCAGTGTTTAATCAAGCTGATTGCAGTATTGCTATTGAGCCATTATATCCTCAGGTAAAATAATAACACTCTTGACCCAGCAAATTTTTAACTAGTGGTGTATGGCATCGTGCCATAAGGCAAATTGCTGGAACTTTCCGTACCGTAATATTAAATATATTATTACAAATACTGTAGCTTTCATCATTTTTGCTATCTTGTTTGTTATATCTGAGCAAATCAAATGTAAATCATAAATCATAAATCAATTTATCTCCAGAACATTAACAATCGTCATTTCATTTCGAATTCAATTTCAAAAAAAAAAAACTGAAACACACAAAATTGAAAAATTGCTCCCGTATAGTCACAGTCTAAACGCACTTGGGTAAACATTTGTACCAGAGCGGCGATTAGACTGTGCTTAGCTCGGGTAATATTTGAATTTTTAATCCAAAATTACAAAAATATTTTATGGAAAATGAATAAAGATGTAATAATTCTTTATCCTCAAAAGCAATTGTTTTGTCCCCGTAACGGCCGGACCTGCCTTCGCCAAAAACTAATGAGCACATCTTCCTATCAATAGGGATCGAATGTTTTTTAAACCATTCAAATCGGTTGATCCGTGCGCCCGAAAACGTGGACGAAAAAATGCCGACATACAAATCACACACATCTATTTAGTTTCTGAAGTATGTCTTAAAAATGTTCAAAAACCTTCAAGACGTCGAAAAATGCAAAAATTTTCATTTTCGATAATATATAATAATATAATAAATAATATAACTGATTAATATTTAGTTTATTGCATAAGTTTTTTTTTTTTTTGCTTTTTAGATTTGTCAGAGTATTCCTCCATTTAAAGATGATGCAAAATGTATTTCACCAATATATCTAAGCCGTCAGCTGAATTCTTTATCCTGCTCACTATCAGTAAGCTAATATATATATATATATATATATATATATATATATATATATATATATATATTAACAAAGTCTAATAATCGGGCATAACATCAATAAAAACATGATTTTTTTTCAAAAATTTATTTTAAATCCATACATTTCGGCATTAATCCTAGCCTTCATTCAGTGGAAACTAAAAATAAAATAATTAAAAACCAAAACAATTCTCGTTTTGTCTATCAAATAAATTGTTTAGATTGTAATTTAATTTACATAGGAGAAACTAGCCAGAACCTGAATAAACGGTTACAACAACATAAAAACAATTCAAAAAACCCCAAACAATTCAAAACTGTACTTGCAGACCATATACACACTTTAAAACACAATATGGACTTTTCTAATCCGACTGTACTACAATTTGAACAAAATTTATTTAAACGAAGAATTATAGAGGGATCTTTTTTAACTATTTATAACAATAGAACAATAAATAAACGGAATGAACTTAACACACTGTGCGACACATCTCTTTTATTTAGATAACATTTCCAAAAATTCTTTACAAAACAATAAAAGCGTTTGCGCAAAGGATTCGCAATTCGTTCCACACATGTGTAGAATCTTGGTAAAAATATTTCTTAAAAAATGTCTTTCTCCATTATATCTTCAACCAGTCTACGAATAACACACTATCCATTTGTGATTTTTTCAAATCAGTATTTTGTGAAAATATTGTGTAATTTCAAGTTAATGTTTATAATACATAGTGTAGTGCATTACCAGATCCTAATACAATGGATTATTAAAATTTTCCAATTTAATACTAAGATCTACTAACTGTAAGTACTAATTACTATTTTATTTTTTCTTTTCACTCCAATTCAATTGTTTTAGTTTTTAATTTTATTTTTAGTTTTCACTGAATGAAGCCTAGGATTATAGCCGAAACGTATGGATTTAAAATGAATTTTTGAAAGAAATTCATGTTTTTTATTGATGTTATGCCCGATTACTAGACTTTGTTAATACATATGTCAACATCAAATTCAGAATCATACAATATATATATATATATATATATATATATATATATATATATAATCAATTATTTTTTTAAAGATAAGAAGAGAAGACACTATATCATTATTTTTAATAATTTGTCAAAGTAGACATTTTATGCTGTGTTTATGGAATGCTGTGCAATTTTGGGTTTCTTCGTGTTTTATGATAAGTATTACACAGGTAAGAATATATATCTTATATATAAAATTCTTTTTAGAGTTTGTCAAAGGAAATTGTTAAAATTTAATTAACGATAAAATTATAGTAATATTGCATAAATAAATGGCAAAAATTACAAAAAAATCACTTAACATTGTTTGACATTGAAAACATTTGCTAGAAATGTTAATTCACTTGGAATCTGAATTTAGCTGAAATTATGAACTTAGATAATATTAGAATATAATATACAAGACTAAATGTAATGTCTGCATTATAATTGCCAAACAGCAGGTGAGATGTGCCAGAAAATAAATAATATAAGACACAGTATAGAGTTTGGCAGATGAAATTATATATTTCAGTTTAATGAATAACGCAACAAGTCCAAAATTGCATATACATTATTTTTTTTAACTTATGCACGTCGCTCTTTGGTTTGCTTTACTAAATTATTTAACAATACAAAAAATACTTCTACTTATTACATAAATGATTTAGAATTTTGTTTCATGTGTCAAGAACTCTTTTGTTTGGCATTCAACATGGAATATTTAGTTAGTTGATCTTAGATTGAAAAGTGCACATATGAACTAGATTTTACAAATTAATTCACCTAAGATTTGAACATAGACAATAATGTTTATTAAATTATTAGTAGGAAAACTGTACATTAGAAATTATAATTGCCAAAAGACAACTAATATGAAAACTAGCTGTAAGTGGAATTCTGTCTTAAGGCAATTAAGGCATTGTGCCTTAAGGCAAATTGCTGGAACTTCCTATACCAAAAATTATTATTTTTTTAAAATACTCTTTTTTGAAAAAAAAATTTTTTTATTTATTTTTTTTTTTTTTTAATTTTTTTGTTTCTTTATTTTGACATATTGTGGAAGATCTGAACTTTTGTTTCAAAGCAATCGTACTGCTTTAACTGCATAGGGACAAAATATAAAGCGCGTAAGCGCCGCGTCGCTGTCTAACGCATAAGCATTGATACGGAACCCATAGGAATGTTAACAAAATGTATACTTATTGTTAAAATCTCTATAAAATATCTGATAATTTGATGTGCATTTGTCTAATGATCATTTTTGACCGCCAAATGACTCATTTTTTTACTTTTTTCTCCATATCTCCGAAACCGCTAGACCTACCTTTATGAAAATTTTATCGATTCTTCATCTTGTCAATACAAGTGAAATGTTTTTTGAATAATTCAAATCGGACGCTTCTTTCTCTTAAAAATTGAGTTACCGTTTCCGGCACTTTTTGCCCCGTATCTTTGGAACAATTCGACCTGACTTCGCCAAAAACTAATCAGCACGTCTCCTTATCAATACGAATCGAATGTTTTTTGAATTATTCAAATCGATTGATCCGTGTTCCCGAAATCGTCGACGAAAATTTGTATCCGCACATACATACACACACGCACATACATACATACATACATACATACACACACACACACACACACATACATTTTTTCTAAGGTATGCCAAAATGTTCAGAAACCTTTGAAACGTAAAGATATATAAAAATTTTCATTTTTTATTTTTTTGCGATTACTATAACTTGCCCTACGGGAAGTTAATTATAGACTAAATTATTGAAGCAATTAGGTTGCGTGGTAAAATCAAGTGTGATATAGTTCTTTTCGGACAGCAGATATTATATTATTTTTTCTGAATGTTTCATTCTGCTTATGCTAAGACCATAAATGAATCACAAACGCAGGATCTCAAATAGTATATTAAAAAGCATGTAAAAAATTGAGCTTTTGAATTATAGACAAGGGTACATGACAACGTCTTTCGGGTCATCTAGTATATATATAATAATAATGATATTTATTTTTTTAGGTGCTGGCAGTCGCTTTGGGTCTTTCACTACCACTAACATTAGGAAACAGCTTATTTCTATCGTGTTTTATTATACCTTTAATAAGCATCAGCCTAATGGCTGAAAAGGCTGATTCGAGTGTAATGCGCAAAGCCACAGGAAAGAAGTTTATGAAAATCAATATACAGGTAATATGTAAATGATAACTAGTGGTGTATGGCATCGTGCTTTAAGGCAAATTGCTGGAACTAAATTATTAAAAAAACTGTGCAAAACTTGATTGAAATATATTATTTTTTTCAGATTATTATATTTATTTTATGGTGTTACGGTGGAAAATTTATTCCAGCAGTGTTAGGAGTATTGTTAACATACTGCTCAGCAATAAATAACGAATGCAAAGATACAAATATGTACAATTCTACAGTACAAATTAGCAATACAATAAACAAACTAAACATCGATGATGCTTGTAATGTGGATATAATTAAATTTGCGCAACATTTAGCATTATTGTGCATCGTCTTATGCTTAAGTAATTGATACTTACAATGCACTTGTAATTATTATATAACTATACTCATATATTTACTTATATTTTCAGTTACAATATCGATAACCTTTGTTCACCGCGAGCACTCTATTATTAAACAAAGTCCTATTAATAATCTATACTGGGTTGGAGTCATTATATTTGTGTATGTATATATATATATAAATAGATTTAGTACTACAATTGATATAATATTGTTAATGCAAGTTTATGTTACAGATTTATATTACATATAGTTTATTTATTTCTTAATTTAACCACTTCAAATATTTATTATTCTGCAACGTCTTGGGTTGCATGGACGTGCTGTTTTTGTACACCTTTGGTGGTGTTTTTTATATCGGAGGTTATTAAGTGGCAAGAAATAGAGTGAGTAGATAGTAATATATAATTATTATATATATATATATATATATATATATTTGTATACTGTTTCAAATGTTTGTTTTTTGTTTTAGGACTAATTCTAGATATCAGAAAAGAGCACGACTTGATTTTGGTACAAAGTTAGGAATGAATTCTCCTTTTTAATTGTTTTTTGTGGAGTTAATAAAAAAGACAAAACAAAAGGTGGTTTATATAATCGTAAATTATTTATTATGAGTGCAAAAACTGAATCGTACAAGTCATATTGTAAAAATGTTTTAACATTGTTACGAGTTAGGAGGTTAGTAGCTCTAAAAGATGATTATACTTTCAATATTTTTGAAAAAAAATTTATTTCAAAGAATGATATAACTATAGTCTTATAATTGCAGATTTGTAAATCATATAAATATTACATGTTCAATAAGAACTCACATAAAATAGTTGTACTAGACAATCGATGTCTTCATAACCTTAAACTTAAACAATAAAGTTTATTTTTAATATAAATTATATTAATAACTTACCAAAGGAGAAGTTTATATTATCATTTAAAATCCTTGGTTACATGTTTACTTGACGTTTAGAGTTATTCTGAATCCTTTGACACCAAAATTTTGTGGGACAAAGTTTGAACTTTTGTCGATGTTTTCTCAAAAACTGTTGCACCAATTTTAAAAATATAAAAGTCATTCGATAATGGTTCAACCATTTTGCCAGTATAGTTAAATCTTACGACATTTTTGTATATTTTTGTGTTTTGTACTGATCACCATTGATGTCCAGGCTTTGAAAATACATTTTTAGAACACGAAGTGGAATGAACTGTACTATAAATTATACTATTAACACAATTGCAAATACACTTAAGTTTGTTTAGACGATATTTGTTACAAAACGCACTTATTTTAGTTTTTCAACAAAAACTTATAACAGTCGAAACTATTATGGCCGCCATTTTAAATTTGTTAAATCAAAATTCTTAGTGATAAATCTTCTTATTAATGATTTACACAACTTACACTTAGTTTTAAATTTATACTATTTTATTGTTCATTTATATTATTTATACAAATTACACTCAGGTTTTAAATAAGTTTAGAATTTTATTATTTATCATTTAACAATTTACAAACTTCATCATTTTTCTTTTTGCTAACTTCAGTGTAATCAGATTCATATATTTTTCATCTACATTAGTGAACTTTTTTTTAAATTAATCTGCACAACAAAATACGTCATGTTAATTACAAATATATTAAAAAATGATGCAAAGTGATGAATTATATGTGATAAAATTATCTGTTTATTGTTTTGGAATATAAACCGTTATAAGGTAAGAAATAGTTTTTGGCAGTTGAATATTTTATCGTCACCATTTTAAAAGTTGCTAAATCTGAATATTTGTTCATTAATTCCATTATTTATTCATACATGCTACGAGCTTAAAGGCAAAAATACACAAATTAATATAATTTTCAGTAAAATCACAATGGCAAAAAAAATTTATTCCCTTCTGTACGCACATAAATGTATACAAAATATTTATTATAAGCATAATTCTAACCAAACAATATAAAAAAATAATTATAATTATATAAAAACTATTACTCGTTTATAAATAATTGTGTATTGCTAAATCTGAATGTTTATTTCAAAAGAGATCCGATTTGGCAGTTTGTATTGTAGTTCCAGCAAACTTCATCAGTTTGAACAAATATTTTTCAGCTTGTGAGTGAACTTTTTTTTATTTTAATCAATTTTCACAATGAGCAGTAACGTTATGTATTTTATAAATTACATAAAGAAATATCTAAAACTAGTGGTGTATGGCATCGTGCCTTAAGGCAAATTGCTGGAACTTCCCGTATCGTAATGAAATATTCGAGAAATTTTAAACGTTTTCAAATATATTATTACAAATACTGTAACTTTCATTATTTTTACTATCTCGTCATATCTGAGCAAATCAAATGTAAATCATAAATCAATTTATCTCCAGAACATTAACAATCGCAACTTCATTTCGAATTCAATTTAAAAAAAAAATAGTTGCCTAATTTACACAAAATTGAAAAAGTGCTCCCGTATAGTTACAGTCTAAACGTATTTGCAAATAATTCTGTGCGACATTTTCATTTATACTGCGCTTAGCTTGGCGGCATTTTCACATTTTTCAATAGTTTTTTCACAAAATTGGAAAAGTCAGTCAAATCAGCACATCTCCTTATCAATAGGAATCGAATGTTTTTTAAATCATTCAAATCGGTTGATCCGTGCGCCCGAAAACGTGGACAAAAAAATGCTGACATACAAAACACACACAGATTCATTTAGTTTCTGAGGTATGGCAGTAAAATGTTCAGAAACCTTCAAAACGTCAAGAAATGCAAAAAATTTCATTTTCGATTTTCGGCCCATTACTATAACTACCCTACGGGTAGTTAATAATAAATATGATTGTGTTAAAATAAACATTTGAATATAAACTTCTACAAGTTAAGAAAAAAATTGAATCATAGTCCCAGAAAAAATTGAATTGAAACGTCATATATTTCATAAATTACATAAAAAAATTCCAAAATTATAAATATGATTGTGTTACATTATGTGAGCAAACAAAAGTTAAATCTGGAATAGTTTGAATATGGCGCGCTTTATGTTGAAATTCTTTACGCATATACAAATATACAAAATATAATATTATATAATAATATTTATAATTATAATATTGTACTCGTTTATAAATTCATGTATACATTTTGTATATTACAAAAGATTTATTAACTCTCATTTGACAGTTCCCATTTTAGTTCTAACGAACTTCACTTGGTACAAATATTTTTCAGTTTGTGGGTGAACAATTTTTTTAATCAATTTGCACAATGATAAACGTCATATATTTTATAAATTACACACAAATATCTAAAATGATAAAATACGATTGTGTTAAAATTAACATAAGTTCAACTTTTTCTTACCTTGTAGAAGTTTATATTCAAATATTTGAATATAAACTTCTACAAGGTAAGAAAAAGTTGAATCTGGAATAGTTCGAACATGGCGCGCTTTATGCTGAAGCTCTTTACGCTTATACAAATATACAAAATATATATTGCACAATATAAATATAATTTTGATAATATAAATAAATAATTAACAAAGACAACTATTACTCGTTTATAAATTATTGTGTACATTTTGTCTATTACAAAAGATTTATCAACTCTTATTTGACAGTTCACATTTTAGTTCTAACGAACTTCATGTGGTACAAATACTTTTCAGTTTGTGGGTGAACTAATTTTTTAATCAAAAACGTCATATATTTTACAAATTTCACAAAAAATATCCAAAATAATAAAATGTTTGTGTTACATTTATCATTTAAATTCAAACAGTTACAAAGTGAGCAAACAAAAGTTAAATCTGGAATAGTTCGAATATGGCGCGCTTTATAAAATCCTACGCTGAAGGCTTTTTATGCACATACAAATATACAAAGCATAATAATATATAATAATAATAAAATTTTATTATTATAAATAAATAAATATTATTTGTTTAAAGATTGTGTACATTTTGTCTATTACAAAAAATTTATCAACTCTTATTTGACAGTTTCTATTTTAATTCTAACGAACTTCACTTGGTACAAATATTCAGTTTGTGGGTGAACAATTTTTTTAATCAATTTGCACAACGACAAACGTCATATATTTCACAAATTACATAAAAAATATCCAAAATAATAAAATATGTTTGTGTTACATTTATCATTTAAATTCAAACAGTTACAAGAGCAAAAAAAACGAATCAGGATTAGTTCGGGTTGGCGCGCGCGCTGTACACAAAAACCTGCGCACAAAATCTGCGCGCGCCATAACACACGGGTGCATTTTTTATTCACATCTTTTGTTTTCCCATTGCGATTTTCATCGTAAAAAATTAGTGAAAAGTGTTGTGCACAAAATAATTATGGATATTAGTGAATGTGTAAGCATAGATCTGTACGCAGACGACGGCGATACAGCTTTCGTTGAAGATTACAAAGAAAACGACGTCGACATTTACGAAGACGTCATACTATCAACAAGTGATGAAAATATTTTGGCCGGCCGGGAAAATTCTCCGAGTGAAAAACAACAAGTCGAAGATAATGTGAAAGTGCGTTCGAGTGATTTTACAGGACGCAGACATCAATTGTATGTGGGAAATTTAACATGGTGGACTAAAGACCAGGACGTTCATGACGCCATTTTGGATTTGGGGGTAAATGATTGTGTTGAGGTTAAGTTTTTTGAGAACCGGATTAATGGTCAGTCCAAAGGTTTTTGTGTGGTTTCTTTGCTGAGTGAAGATTCTGCACGTATTTGCTTGGAACAACTGCCTTCAAAAGACTTGTATGGGCGTAGGCCTATGGTCACGCACCCTACGAAACAAGCTTTGACTATGTTTGAAAGCCAGACGAGAACCCGTACAGCGCCAACGAATTCTATGAAACTTTTCAACGGGAACTCATCAACGTTGTACAGCCCCATGCAAAGACTACCTACTAACTATTTAATGATGCCACCACCACCAACCTATATATACCCTTACAACAGGCGCTTCAGCAGGCCTGATGTAAGATTCAATGTACCCCCAACCGGTAACATTTGGGGCTGTTTGCCAAATGGTAAACAATATATCAACCAACCAAATAGTATTCCTCCTGAAGACCCTTATCTGATGGTATCTACAGAATGGATAGACGAGGAAGCCTCCTACGCCGAAGCTATTTACGAAAAAATCTTACACAACAATAGAAAGATCAGTAGCACCGCCATTGCTAGGGCTGTTTCAGAAACTGCTTCGGGGGACTTCCGAAGTGCTATCGACACTTTGCAGACTGCCCTGGCCCTTATTAGGGACTCCCAGACTGCTGATGATGATCGGTGCAGGATTATTATAAGTTCTTTGCAAGATACCTTGAACAGTGTGGAGAAGAAGGCTTCGGAGAGACATTCTTCGAGGACCAGGGACAGACATCACGAGTCCCACGATTCTCCTGATCGGTATTGTTTTTTTTTTTCAATTTTTTTGTTTGTAAAATATTAATAAAATTGCAATGTCTGTTTGTAATAAAACTAGTGGTGTATGACATAGTGCCTTAAGGCAAATTGCTGGTACTTCCCGTACAATAATCAAATTTCGACAGTTATGTATCATAATAT